TTGAAGGAACAGAATATAATTAGCTACAGTACCAAGCTCAGCCAGCTTAATCTCACCTTCTGATGGAAATCGCAAGCTAGATCGGAAGCCTTGCAGCCTTTGCACGGCACCCACAGATTGGAGGATCCAGTATCGAAAAGCAGTTGGAATGTCTGAGGAGGGGTTCCAATCTGCACGGTACCGTAGTACTGGGCCTGAACAACCAACCGTTTGACTTGGTACGCAATCACAGACCTATTGTAGCTTCTTACGTTTGAATAGTCAGAAAGACCCTCATTGTAGGCAAGGTTCGAGTCGAAAGTGTAACCCTTGATGTACTTCTGCTTCAGATATTCAGCAATTGAGTTTATCTTGTACGAATTTCGTTCATAAGTGGTTTTGTGCATGGGAACACTAAAATACTTCTCTTCATAGAATTTCAATCGATTTCTATAGAAAATTCCACTTACCGCACAAAGGCATTGATACCGAGGCATACTGATAGGAGAACGAGCAGGAGCTGAGCCATCATGACGCTGCTACCCGGCCTAATCAGCGTCACCCTTTTATACGAACTGGGCTATCAATGTCGCCTTTTACGCTTCCATGTTGCGCTATCAGACACGAGTGCGTAGCTTCCATGCGACATCGAAATTTACTGGCATTGGTGAAATGGTTGACACCCGAATTTTTTCCCGGTGACGTCTTCACAATTGTGTTTTTAGGGCGGAGTTTACGATGAAAAGGCAGCCTATTAGAAGCCAAGGTCAATGGTGCAGAGATGAAGAAAAAAAGGGCCAGAACCTAATAAGTGAGACTCCTTGTTTGATGTGCACTGATGCGACTCTCATCAGTGCTGCCCTCTTCAATTCTGATGCTCTCTCTGCTTAACGGCTAGATTCAGATGACGAGAGTGGCGTGCCGAGACGCGAGCGGAGCTGATAGGCCCCTGTTAGGCCGCAAGAAGCATACTCGTCCCTGCGGAAGCGCATTAACCTTACCATTAGATGACCCACCTGCCTTACCACCAGGTGCGACTGTTTCCTGCCTCAACCCTACCATTATCAAATATTCCGCTTAAGGGTTCAGACTCTCTCCTTTGTGTACAAAATATTCCATCACTGATTTCAATAACGAGACCGAGCGCGTTGTCGATAGCGAATTAAAGAAAAGCGGACATTGAGTCTATTTTGGTCGGCAACGGTTGAAATCATTTGCGCAGGCGATTTGTAGGGAAAGTTCGAAAGAATGGGCTACCTCCTGGAGGACATTCTGCAGTCAAATGCGTAGTTCCAAAGTTCTGAAACTCTCAGTTGAAATCTCATTGGGAGGCGGTTTCGCTACTGTTTAGCCATCCCTTCATTATTATTATTTTATACGAAGGAGTACGAGAGCAAATCGGGAGTCCCTTATCCCTTCCCCTTTTTCCTTTTATGGAGGGAACTGCGCAAGCATTCAACTTGCCATTCAGGAGTCTGTGGCGCCTTTTTTGATGCGATTTGACCTTTACAGCTGACTGCGGATTCCAGCCGATGTACGTTTCATCCTTCTAAATACTTCTAGCACCACTCCAGAGACTCTTTAATGATGGAAGCCTTGAATGGCGTGGTTAGCGTTAGAGCCAAGACTCGACTCCCGGACCGTGCGCTTGATAAGCAGCACCACTCGCCCCGAACCAGCGACTTGCCCTTTTCGCCTATTAGAAAAATATTTTTGTGATAGCTTTTTTTTTCCTAGCTAGCATTGCCTTTACACGGCTCTATCACGTTTTTCCAGAGCATTACTTAAAGCATATAATTGTTTTTGAACAGGAGCTGAAGAAGGTGCTAAACAGGAGCGCCAGTTTATCAGTGCTTGAGATAATGATTGTTTACGTCGACTGCTGTTGGTAATAGTTGTTTGCTGCTGTTTGTTTGGCCAAAACAAAAGCATATGTGACCTCAATTGCCTTGAAGGGGGTATGTATACCCGAGTTAGTTTAAGCGGGATTCCATGACTAGGAGGAATGGACGGACGAAACTTACTACTGGAGATGGCTATCCAGTAGGCAAGTTTCGTCCGGTTGTGGTGGTTATAGGTGCAGGCCAAGACGCAATTCGCATAAAAGGATATGCCCCCGGCGATCTAGCATGGCCTCCGCGGCGCTATCGGCGCGGCACGCCCACCGACTGGCTAACCACTCGCCGCAGGTCTCTAGCCGTTTAGCAGAGAGAGCGTTAGCGTTGAAGAGGGCAGCACCGATGAGAGTCGCATCAATGCGGAAATCAACGGGCAAGGAAAGGGTTCCCTTTCGGGTTCTGGGCCGTTTCTCATGGTTTTTTCTTCTTTCGTGCGTCACTGACCATCTCGAACTTAATTTTAATGGGTTGCATTGTGAAATCCGCTTTTTTCATCGTGAACAAGTCAGACCCAAGTCAGGCTTTCTCGAGGTAACACCGTTTGGACTCTACGTCCAGAAACCACACCAGCTTCCACCGCTGTAACTTCGAAAGAAAAACAGTGTTAAAGTTTCATAAGAAGAAGTGAACAACAAAGCTTCCTATACAGTATACATAAATAAATACAGTAATGAAAATTATTATCAGTAATGTTCATCCATTAGCATGGAAGAAGGTACGCGAAGAGGAACCGTTTGAGCAAATGAGAGTGGTCCGAAGCAAAAAGTGAATCGAGTGGTCCAGCAGCATGAGTTTGACCTCGGCGATAGTGGTCCGACTTTGACCGCTTGGTCAGGACGGGTTCGAACCATTACCGTCGCGGTCCTTGCTGTTGTGCCGACTGCAGCCGTTGCCATTACTGTAGCCGGCTAGCGATTTCAACTCCTTGGAACTGGACTGAGAGATCGAATTGAGACGTGACGAAATCGAACGGCGCAACCGATTGTACAGTGGGGCGCACATTCGAAGAGCCACCTGAAATCGGTAGATGAAGCCAATTTAGTGCCGGTTGGGGTATGGCAGACAGAGCGGGTAGCATACGGAGCCATGTGTCAAGGAAATTAGGGCGCTATCGCAAGATACGGGGGCATTGTGGTGGCAGTGCATGAGAATCGCGTGAAACATCTCCTTTTTGTTAAATCGGGACTAAGCCTTAGGCAGGAGATTAGAGACTCCAGGGTGCATGAGCATTTCCATTTTCCCGAAGTTTCTGCCCCTCCTAGGCTTAGTCCTGAAGGATGCCCCCGTATATTGCGATAGCGCCGAAATTAGGTTAAAACCATACACAAGAGCCTACATCTCCCCTCCAGTGAAGGATCCACCTCTGTCTGAACTCCCATCTCCTTCTATTGCTTCACAGTACTCGAAAGTAAGAGAAGTATCAGTATTAGAAGTATCAGTTTTCCCCGAAGAACTGTCTCTCTAAAAGTCCCGGAAAAAATCTAATAGAAATTTTCCGAAAATCCCTACACCCTTGGTAGCTCGACTTCACCATCCCGGGAGCACACTGCGAATTTCACTTGATTGAACTTCCCCGCTCCCGCCTCCTCTTGTTTCCAATCCTTCACAAACTCCTTGACGTTAGCTCAGCCGAGTAGGCAGATGAGGGTAGCGCAGCGGTATCAGAGTTTCCGGTCCATTCGAAATAATGTTTCTATGATCACTTACTTCGGGGCTTTTTGCCAGCTCTCTGCGTTCACTAGTGACCGCAGCGCAGGCGCACGCAGTCCAGGTATGGAACTCGCCTAACGCACCTCAGTTCCAAAAACACTGATTATTTCGGACTCCACACCGCTATAGTGCGGAAGTTGCGCGAGTACTTCTATTTTGACCAGCTGAGTAGATTTACTGCGTTTATTTTGACGATCAATTGGATGATACAAATTTCAACGAAAGCTTGGATAGCATGAAGCTTTGTAGATAGGAGGCGGCATGAACTTACTTCGTAACTAGGAGGTGGTTCCTCGGGAGGATCTATCAGAAGTGGAGTTCGATCGCTTGTAGGACTTCCTCCGATGGCTTGATAACCATTGGACCAGCCGGTCAAGCCACCTATCGATAACGACCTGGGCGGTCCGTGGCGAGAAGGTCGGAGTGGAATCGCTCTCGAGAAACGAGGCACGGAATCCCTGAAATTGTCTGACTAATCGTTGTTTTTGATAGCCAAGGTGTGGACAAACCTTCTCATAGCCTGCATGAAATTCATGCTTCGACTGCCGCTGAGGGCGGTCGAACAGGCCTTCCGGCGGGTAGCTGACTGAGATCGTCGTCCAGTGCCCCGTAATTCCGCAACACAATTTGCTCGTTGTTCACGGGTATAGGACGCGAGAATACGCGAGCTTCAGAGGGGTCCACGAGGGTCTGAAAGAGGACCACTTTTCAGGAAGGGCTAACATTGAGGATGAATGTGAAGCAGCTTAGTGCTTACCACGGTTGCGTGTGGCATCAAGCATCGCTTCCGAGTAGGACGGGACAACGAAGTACTGCTCTCTTCCCAGCGCTGCTTCCAGTTCTACCGTCTCCATTGTCGAGGTTCGTGTCAGTGGACCCGTATAGTTCACCGATGATGGACTGAAACAAGAAGTTTGGATGCCGGAACATTATTCAAGACAAATGAATCAGAAAAATGGGTTTGCACTCTGTGGAAAGGGGTAGACTGCCATGATGAGGCCGCAGCACCCGCTCTTTTTGCTTCCACACGTGCGAAGCCTTTCTAACAGCCTGCAGAGGTTCTCGTCTAACAGCTTCATGAATTCATATCGACAGGGTCCGCCACGCCTAGCCATTAGGTAACTTGACTTGATCTTCAATTTTATATCCCTGCTCCCTTTCTTTCAGATTGCATATGTCATTGATAGCATGCGCTTAACCTACACGCTTGTCAGTCTCAGAACAATTCCAAAGGTTCCATTCGAGGCGGTGACGATGGGAGAGAGGGAGAAAAGTAACTGTTGAACATTAAAAATTCACAATTCGTGGAATTTCCGCGGATTTTGCCCAGAGATTTTCTCCCTTTAATTTCAAAAAAACCTTTCTTAGCTTATAACTCCAGCAGTGAGACCCCATTTTGCTCTATACATACAACAACCTCTCCCACCCTCTCTCAATAATTCACCCATTCACCAGACGTGTGGCTTGTCATCCTCTCGTTGTGCTGTCAGATGGATGGCTAGTCCCGATGCCACATAGCTTACCATTTGCTGCACCACTTTAGCCCTATAGGTTTCATAAATCGTAATCGAGGACTAATAGACGGATGCTATGACAGGTTTCGTATCTTTGAGACGAGCCCAATTCACTGGACCCATCTGGTTCTAAACGCGGAGCAACGAAAAGCAATACTGGATGGCCGGCTGCTAGCCGGCTGGATGAAATAACGGAAGGAAAATGGTCCTCGATGACAAGCTGACTGCTCCCTGACGATTCAAGCCCTTTCTTGGTCTCGTGCTAGTTCTCGAGGAATATCCTAGCCAACGGAGTGGAACAGAAACGATGGCGGATGAAAAATGAGACCGGAGTGGATTTGGGGAAAACAAGCATCCATTAACGCCGACAGCTTTTCGAGATCGCTTCTCCTCTATGAGGCACATATGCCTACTAATTGCTCAGAAGCTCCGTCAAGTGGCGAATGTTTATTGGGCCATTCGCGATAGGATCACAAAATATCACCCAGCTCTTCTCTCGGGAAGAACATGGACTAATCTTCTCCAAGGATTCACTTTGAAATCGCGTTACACCATAAGAAAATGCGAAAAAGGGCAACAGCAAAGAATAGGTCACAATTTAGGCCCTCCACAAGGTTCCCCACACCATTTTTTTTGTCCCTGCTTATATTTATTTTTATTTATTCATCACTTAGAACATGTTTACTATTTATTTATCACGTAATAAAATTTGCTTGCGCTTTATTATCGGGGTGGATTACCTAGCGAACCTAAAACAATTCAGGCGGACGAGAATTTTAGAACAGATCATAATGTTTTTTTGTCGTTTCCAAAGGTGGTTAAGTCAGTCGTTAACCCGTCATTAATTGTCTGTGACTCAACTGAGGACGACTGCTGCCCTTTTCGCGTCTGATAGTATTTCTATTTGAATATACTCTGTATAACTACGCAAGCGCGTCCACTGGACGTATGGAGATCAGCTAAATAAATAATGTTGAGGATATTCGCTAATGATTTTGCGTTCAGAATGTAGATCATAATTTTGAAACGGCACCAGTATTTCAGATTTAAAATATAGTTTCTAGAAAATGAATGACGAACCTCAAGTAGCAGGTGCCGAAGAGTTTTGTGACCTGATAGTTGAGCATCGCCGTGCGACATTCGGCATAGATTCGCAACGGCCACGACAATAATATCAACGAGAAGAACCTAAATATTCAGCCTTTCTTTCTTTTACGGTGGTAATCTCAAACTAATGTTTTTCAGAAGCTGAGAGTTTCTCTGAGGTACCCGACAAGAGGCCCGTCGCGCAAAGAGAGGCAGAGTCAGAGGACGAGTTGCCGCGCGTACTGTAGTGATTTCGCGTCAAGTTAATAGAATGTACCACTGTATTTCCTAGATCGCAGAGCCGCTAACCCTGCCTTCTTCACGCGCGACGGGCCTCCTGTCGGGTACTCGTTTCTCTAAGATTAAGAGGTCATTCTAGTAGATCGCTGCGAAAGGTAAGGTAAAAATTTATCAATAAGGCGAGGTTGATTTCATCTACTCAACAGAGTACGAATGTGCGGAGTAGCTACATCTCTGAGAAATTTCGTCGTTTGGCTCCTTACAATTGGTGGATCTCTAAAACTTGAACGATAAAATATTCTAGGTAAGTATTCTAGGCTGTTCTAGTCTCCCTTTAGGAGACGCTGCGCACTTTACTTTCTTCCACAATCTTAATGGAATTTGAATGAGTATTCTGTCCATACACACAAAATTTTACGGGGCCCGCCAATATGGGAATGGGACCCTTTATCCTCACAGACAAGCCTGGTAGAGGAGGCTTGCCCTGTTACGACCGCCGTCAGAGAAACATGGAAGCAGTACTGCAAGTGCTCACCAGAAGGTCGACGCACGAAGAAACCACGGCTGTGATCCACGGAAGACAAGCATATCATCGAGGAGGGACACATCCGAAAGATCCATGCCTTCTCGAACCTGAAAAATACTTTTGATTTTGTTCAACTGTTCTTACCCAAGCATTTCTTGTTCATGGCCTACAAACTGGTACCTGCATCTATTGGAAGAACCACCACAATTTCCCCTCCCCTCCTGAAAAGGGTTCTCTCTAAGACCTCGCCCACGCATCTTACCATCAGATTGCCATCTCCTGGACTATCCATCTCCTGGATTCCTCCGTCAAGTACGGGGCATGTTCCCGAAGCAACGAAAATTGCAAAATTTTCGCTATTTTTCCAAGGTTCAATCTGGTGAACAGTCTTCTATCCCCCAAAATTTTACCGTGGCTTCTACGTGCGATAGAAAAAAGCTCGTCCAGATCGGCGAAGGGTAGCAATTCGTAACGACCACTGCCCCACAATTTCGCTTGAGTGCCTTTAGAAGTGGATGGTGGCTGAGCAGCAATAAAATGAGAGCTTCGATTGCTTTCAAAGAGCTACTATGACTTCATTTCAGTATAGAGTGGAGGCAGGAGAGCTGACGAACGACCATTTGATTGCTACTCAGCAACCATCTTCTTTCAAGAAAAAGCCTCTGTGTCGCGTGCAGTGTTTTTTATTCAAGAA